CCTAGTGGGGCCGGGGTCCTCCTCCGTGGTGGGGCTGTACACCGCTCCGTTCTCCATCGCCTAGGGACGAGAAACCCGCAGCTCCGGAGCAAGTCTCCGACTTCGGCCGCCGGACCAGAAGACTTCAACAGCCGAGGTGGGGGCGTCACTTCCTGGGCTTCTTCCCCGCTTCCGGCCGACTCCGCCCCCGACCCTCAAGCCACGCCCGACGGTCACGCCCCCTTGCTGGTCACGCTCCTTCCCGCTCGAGCTTGCCCTTCCGAAATTCCTGCCATCTCTGGGACTTCTGGCCTTTGCCCAAGAGTTGGGTACTGTACTTTCCCTGGACTTTTTTTTTATTACCTCAAGGTTCTGGAGAATGAACCAAGGGCCTCACACATGCATGTGCTCTACCATTTAGCTATATCCCCAGCCCCTAACCATGGACTTTTACCCTTCCCTCTATCTTCATTTCAGACTTTCATTCAGCATTTCTCTAAGTCATTATTTTGTGAACGCCCACAATGTACAATGAGCCAATTCTTGTTACTAGGGTTACATCCATGTACCAAACAAACACGCAAGATCCCTGCCCGGTGCTGCCTTCCAGTAGGGTGGTCTGTAAAATAGTAAACAGATTCCTAAGGATTTCAGGGTGTAATGAATGAATATGAAAAAAATGACAGTTCTATCTTCTGATGGTTCATTTTAGGATTTTTTTTTTTTTTTTTTACTTTATGATGGTGCAAAATGGATGTGACAAGTAGAAACTACACTTCAGATTTGGCATTTTGATCTATTCAATAAATTATGTGATATTCAACTCTAAAAATCAGTTTTGTTTCAATGAGTTCGCCCAAACGTGAGCTAAAGTAAGTGTTCTGAGCATGTTTAAGGCAGGTGAGACTAATCATGACATTTGGTAGGGTAGGAGTGCTATATTAAATGCACCTGCAACTTTTGATATATTTAATTTATGCTGGGTCTATTGGGACATAACCCCGAGGAGCATCGGTAAGATGAGGTGGTGAAGAGTTGAGAACTGAATAGGCACTAACGTAGGTGGCCAGGAAGGACATACTTGGGGGTGCATTTGCAGTGAGCCTGGTGGATAGGATGGAGGTTAAGCTTGTAAAGATCTGAAAGGAGATTTCATGCAGAGGAAACAGCGAGTGCAAATGTCCTGAGGACCAAAATGAACTTGGCTCAATCCGGAACCCAAGACTGTCATGACTAGGGCTAAGTAACGGTGAAGGAGAGGAGATGAAGTTGGAGGTGTAGGCAGAGGCCAGATAATGCAGGACACTTGCACAGCAGGGATTTGGATTTCATTTTAAGTACAATGGTGTCTGGAAGAACTTTCAAAGGTACTGCCTCCTGCATCTCTGTATCCGTTTTAGGCTCTTCCATCAGAGTCAGTTGTTTTCTTTCTTATTTACCAACTGCTGCTATGTTAACTTTATGTGAATTTAAGGAAGCGTACGGAGGAATGTACTTAGTTTAGCAACTGAAATTGAGTTACATATCAGGCATACATGTTTTCTCTACAACAGAGGCCAAGCATCTGAGCATCACACCCAAGTCAAACAGCCAGAAGCCCCTGGAATGTAGCCCGAGGTGGTCTAAGAATCTAGCTGCTAACACTCACCTGGCCAACCTCAGCCTTTAACTCATCTCTCCCTTTCAGCCTCAAAATCTATGGGTGAGAGGAGGATTACTACTGCCATCAGCTGCCACATTTATCGTCTCTTCTCCACCACCCCAAACCTCCTTCCTTGTTCCACAAATAAAACAAAATCTCCCATTCAGATGAATACAGACAAGTAGATACTACTCTGCAGGGGTTGGCTCCAGCCAGCAAAAACTATCCTCCTGTCTTTGATTAAATGTGTTCTAAATATCCTCTCCCAAGGCCAAGGCCAAACAATCACCAACCCGACAAGGGTCTTGAACATACTAAGTGTGTGCTTTATCACTGAGCTACACCCCCAGCGCCAACCACCAATTCTATCCAATAAAAGAGGCCACTGTATTTTTATCAGTGCTAGAAGGACTCATTCTTCCGTTAGTCTTCAAATCACCACCATCCTAAATTGCATACTATGGGTATCTGAAATTGCCTTTAAAACTTAAGCAAAAGAATAAGACGGGCTGATGACTAGAGAGATAAATAAAAGGACAGACTCATGATAAAGCAACTGTAGTAACATGTTAAGTTACCCATCTGTGGGTGAACTTTACCATAGTTACCTCAGAGTATATGGGCGACTACACAGTTGATTATATGAGTGACACTATATCAGGATTCCAACTTTGAACATTTTCTAAATAAAACACTGCCAATGGTAAATTATCAATAAACAAGGACACTGAGCCAAGAGAGAAAGACAGACTCTCTCAGTCCTCTTGGTTTGTTTAGGGTGCACTTGGGCAGTTCTCCTGTGCCCTGTTTATCTTTGCAGTTAAAAGAAGAACTTAGCTCTATCACTTCTGCTTCAGCTTGCATAAGAATCGGGTACAACATTAATTAAAAATAAAGATTCTTGGGCTGGGGATTTAGCTCAGTGGCACCACACCTGCCTTGTAAATGCAAGGTCCTGAGTTTGATCCCTGGTACAAAAAAAAAAAAAAATTCTTGGAGATTCAAGCCCAAAGATTCTGAATTTGAGTGAAGCTTATAAATTACTTCTATAATCTCTTCAGGTGAGTCTGGTAAGGAATCTGCTCACACAGAGATATCGTTCTGTATGAAACGGTGAAAGCCAGCATGTATCAGACAGCAGATACCTCCTTTGCCCTGAAGAAGAGGAGACCACAATTTAGAGATTAATATTCCTACCACTTAAAGGAGTGGTGGTCTCTTATGTCTCTTAATAAATTAAAATATTTTAGGGTTTCATGAGCAAGTATTTGTACCGGGAGCCCTTTTGATGGTTGCATCCACACAGAAATTTGTCACTGTCACTTAAAAAAATAAACATTTCTTAGTCAAATTATTGATTACATTTGACAAAGTCACATTGCAAGTGAAAGATCTTATTTTTGCTGAAAAGAAGAAAGGAAGTTGTGTTTTATTTACATTTTAAAGAATCCTTACTTTTCTTCTTTAGTATTAAAGATTTAATATTTTTAAATGAGAAGGAAAACATTTACAAGAAGGGAGAATGGGAAAATATGATTTGATGGTTTCTGAGACATTCCAAACCTTGTGCTACTTTTTCAATTGAGAGTGTGATTTTTGAGCACCTCCTACTCAAAAATTTTTGCTGGCTCTCTTATCTATATTAGCAATTGGGCAATTGCGTAGGCACAAAGTTGGATCACAGCTGCTATCCTGAAATGAGGCCACAGTTCATAAAGGACCATGTCACAAAAGAAAATGGGATACCTAGTTTAAAAGAGATAGATTAAACATGTTGGGAATTTAGAGCAGAGAGAAGCAACTTCCAGCTAAAATGATTAATACAGTGGAGCTTCAAGCTGAGGTGAAACAAAAACATACTTAGCATGGGCACTGAGAAACATGGCAGAGGGTTTCCGGCAGGTGGGTGATATGAAAGAAGGCATCACAGATAGAGGGGACAAAGAAAATGTCAAAGGATTTCACAGGGCCACTAAAAATCAGGCTAGAGAGTTGGGCCTTCCTTTTATCCTTGGGTGAGAAACAACCACCCACAAGTTTTGGGCAGGAGCATGAAAGGATTGGAGCTTTTCCTGGGGATATTTTTTCAATAGCCTTGAGCAGTTTGGTTGGTTATGAAGATTGGGTAGACACTGCTGTCTAAGTGGGGGAAGGGGAAGGGGCTTGACCTCTAGCAGTAGTCATGGTGATAGAGGAGAGGGAACAGCACCAAGAGAAACTGGGAGTTGAAACCAGAGAGACTTGGAGACTGGTTTGTTTGGACAAGAAGGGTGGATTTAAACAGGGGCTAAGGTTTCAAGTCCATGAAAGCAAAAACTAGGAGGAGATAATGAGACAGAAAATACAGGAGGGACTAACTCTACTTGTTGTCAAAGTACAAATTTCAAAAATAAAAAGACAACTTTCATACAAGTACACAAAGTATGATCAAAGTATGCAGTGAATGTTTAAATTTTTGAAAATGCATTACAATGAAAAACACACTGCCGTTAATCCCCCTCAAACTACTCATTTCAAATGCACTTACCCCATCATTCTTGCCACCTCCTGAGCAGTTCGAGAAGTCTCTTTTGTATCTTTATCAGGTATGATTAAACTACTGCCAACTGCCATCCAAAAGAAAGGCAGGCTCACAAAAACATTACAGTGTATCCTCAAGCACCTTTTCCCCAAAACCTAACACCACCTGGCTTTGCTCTTTCTCGAAATCAAAAATGACCATGAAAGGTGAATATTCTGAGTCAGTTCAGGACATCAAGGCGGCCACGAAAGCTAAAGACACAAAGGACTTCCAGAACTGGTTCAGAAAGTGACAAAAACAATGGGAGATGTGTGCTTGCTGGGAGGTGGAGTATTCTGAGAGTGATTAGGCAACATGTCTTTTACTGTAGTATATTTTTCTAAAAAATTAAACATGCATTACATTTGTCAACCATGCCTCATGTAGTAAGCCTGCTTCAAAACATTTTATCTAACTTAGTAAGGGAATGTGAAACTGAGAGGCTTTCATGGTGTGTGTGTGTGTGTGTGTGTGTGTGTGTATTTGATGAAAGAAGAAAAAAGGCTGGAAAAAGATTTCTAGGTTACATCCCAAACTTGTTAACAATATATAGCCCAATAAAATTCTTCGCTAAGAAATCATTTTCATCTCTATCAGTCAAAAATCACTTACAATTTTTTATTCTTCTGTACTTAATCTTAATTAGAGTCTATGCCCAACTTGAAAATTAACAGTTGGTCACATAAAACTACCATTCCCCAGTCCATCAGGTGCCACCACAGTGTTCTACTTTAGGGGTCGGCAAGATCTTTTCAGTAAAGGGCTACATAGTTAAATATTTGAAACTATGAGAAATACATGGGCTCAACCCAAGTGCATTGTAGTAAAAGGAAAGCAGCCATAATTAATCCATAAACAAACAGGTGTGCCTGTGTCCTTATAAAACTATAAAAACAAGCAGTGGGTAGGATTGACCCACAAACCGTAGTTCAGGACCACTGCTTTACTTCAATGTTCTCAAAGTTGAGTAAGCAGCACAATC